AGCAACAACAGCAGCAGAAGCAACAACAGCAGCAGCAGCAACAACAGCAGAAGCAGCAGCAGCAGCAACAACAACAGCAGCAACAACAGCAGAAGCAACAACAGCAGAAGCAGCAGCAGCAACAACACCAGCAGCAACAACAGCAGAAGCAGCAGCAGCAACAACAACAACAGCAACAACAACAATAGCAACAACAGCAGCAGAAGCAACAACAGCAGCAGCAGCAACAACAGCAGCAGCAGCAGCAGCAACAACAACAGCAGCAACAACAACAATAGCAACAACAGCAGCAGAAGCAACAACAGCAGCAGCAACAACAACGAAATAATACAGAGCAAACAAACAAACAAACAAAACCATTTACACCCAGGACTATTGATGGATAATTGTTTCCTACCAAGCATATAAAAGTTTGTCCTCTTGAGAGCTGAGAGCCATGGATGGTGGATAGAAGTACGTCTACATAGCATAACATACAGCCAATCACCGTGATGTTGTTAAAATGAGGTGACGACATCTTGATGTACCTGGAAATACAGGGGAAACAGCCRTGAACACCCTAATGGCCGGAGTATGCATCGTTTTACTCTCAATCTCGATATCAATGTCCAGCTCAATCTCAATACACCGATCTCGCATTAATCGTGCTACCTCCCTAGTTCCCTAGTTACTGTTGCTACGTCGGACAAGCTGAAATATACTTTAGATATACAGCATGGAACAGACACCGATTTTTCAAGATCGTAAATGTCTGTCGTAAAATCGATGCATTCTAAAGGTACATAAAAAATCCTTACTAGTGATTTTAAAATCTTATGAATTCTTTATTATTCTGTATATAATTCTGTATTATTCCATWGGGAAAACTTTGCATTGTTTGTGTGAACACTTCAGCATAGCCGGGATCGGTCTATTCCGAAACGAATCTCCATCCCAATCTAAGTTTTTAAAATATTTTTGATTTTCAATTTTTGGTTTTTTTTTTTTTTGTTTTTTTTTTTTGTTTTTTGAGATTAAGAAATTTTAATTTCAATCTCAAATCAATGAATGGCAATCGCAATTTTTCAAACTCAGTCCCATTCATAATTTAAACCTTTAATCTCAATTTCAGTCTTAATCTTCATTGTGATATGCATTTTATTCTTGATTCAAACCTGTGCTTCCTGTAGTAATAATTAAAGGCCAGACAGCAGAGGCAGAATAAAATGCCACTAGACGCAAGACATATGAAGGYGACTGTCACCGCCGTGGATTCTCTGTAGATTTTGATTTTGTGCGTGGTACCCGACACTGGGACGTGCCCATCTACAAATCAATGTTAATAAAGAAAAAAGTATCAAAGTTGAAAATAGATCCTTTACGGCGGCCATCTTGAATTCGGGGATACCAAGAAAAACGTAGAAATTGTTTTTAAGTCATGGTGTTTTGTATATTTTTCCAACTACCAGCAAATCCAATGGACGACAATACGGCGGCCATCTTGGATCGCAATGCATCATGGGGCGTCCAGGGGGCAAATAAAGCTTTGTTACAGTAATAACGTCGGTTGATATTAACAGCTCACCACAAGAGAATACAACAAAAGATGAATAAAGACGGCACATCGATCACCTTTACCCATAAAAGAAAGACAATCACACACAACTCTATATATTTTACGTCATCTTCGTTTTGTTTTGCCCCCTCGCAAGATGGCCGCCGTATCGTCGAAGTAGACAATTAATAATTGTGATTTGTAGATGTGCTTCTCACTACCTTGCCACAGGAATCCCGGACTGCTTAGATTCAGTTTTCGTTGACGAGCGTCATAGAAACCCACTTCTCGTTTGTTCCCACCTAAAGATAACACAAGAGCTAGAGGTAAGTCGTTTTTGATCTTCTCTTGTCAAAGGACAAAACAAAAGAATTTCAATCTCCTGAGAATTGGAAACCCTTTGTTATGTCCTCCAAATAGACCTTTTTCGAATTACTCAGGCTTAGCCTCRATTTTGTGCAGAATATTCACGTGTTCCAGTCAAGGTCCGTCAAGTTTCAAAGTGTTCGTATTGTTGAAGTTGTGCATTCTTTACTTTACCGTTGGTATTTATGAATATTTAGACACTGATTCGAGGTTAACCCTGTGTAAATGAGTCTGTAGTCAAGGAACACAGTGGTAATTTGGAATTCGAAAAGGGTCTATTGAGCTGCATTGCAACGGACTGYAAGGGTCTATATATTGCTAAATCCAAAAACCGTGGGCACCTAAAAATATTCCAAGAAATCTCCTTAACCAATCAGAAACAATACTTGCAAAGATATGAGTTTCTTTCGACCTTTTTGAAAACATTCTTGGGCAGGCATGAGTTCTCTACCAGAAAAGGTTTTCTTACAAAATTCACACTTGTCACTCCGTGGAACCAGTGTTAATAGACCTCCTCGGCTCGGGCGTAATGTTTTCCCATTTCAGACCACGTGTCATTCCCTAGAGTGTAATTTCTTTGTTTAACGGCTGCGCTCGAGAAGACACATGAATATAATAATAATAATAATAATAATAATAATAATAACAACAATATTTATTTATACACGATAAGTTATATACAGCGTAGCTGATGTGGTCGTGTTCTAATCCTAGATACAACTCAAACAAAGAATCTTATTCTCTAGGGAATGACACGTGGTCTGAAATTGGAAAACATTACACCCGAGGTGAGGAGGTCTATTCCTATCTTTTCTTTGTTATTTGTTTCTGTTTCGCTGTTTAAGAGTTTGCACTTGCATTTCTGGCGTATGTGTAAAATTAATTCAAATCTTAAAATGAATTTCCATAATTATCCTAGAAGAAATTTCACCTTTGTTTTGCACAACTTTCACCACGGTTTGCCTGTCTCCATACTCATCGAAGGTAACTCTTCCCTATAACAATAAATAATCAGAAAATAATTCCAAGTCAATCGTCCTTGCAAATTGCTAAACGAGAGTAGCACTYAAAGTGTACCTATAGCCTGAGCAGGGGCGTAGCGAGGCAATGTACCATATTCCCGCCAAATCCACAGGAATCCCGCGTGCATTACTTCAATTTTGGCGCCGAAAGCAAACTTTTGCCCCCCCCCCCCCCCCTCTCCTCCCACGTTATTATGCACTTCAATTCAAAAAGCATCATCCTCAATAGAATGAAACGTGATCTGAAGTGGAAAATAAACATTACGCCCAAATTAGAAAGATCTATAGGCCCCTTGTACGTGACGTCCACGCAGCTCAATTTGGAGGACAAARCAAAAGAATTTTAATATCAAGAGTATCTATTGTTATGTCCTCTAAATTGAGCTGCATTCTGACGTRCTGCCAGGTGACTATTAACGTCTTACCGACATTCCAGCAAAGTCAGTTTTCTGGAGAAGCTGAATAAAGATCGATAAAGCCGTCTCATCCTTGTATCTCAATGACTCCAACGTCTTGTTGTATTTTGAAAGCAGCGGTATGGCGTTGTTGAGCATGCGCGCTAAACTCCATACGGCATCGTAGGTAAATGATGAATAATGATTTATGTTAAGGTTTCTTTTTAGAAGGTTCGCTTTGTATTCTCTGTAAAGGTCCTGAGCTGTCTATAAARAGATAAAGAAATTAAGAGCTTTGATATACCATATTTRRAATAAGRGATTTGCACCATCAYGTGACGGCAACATTGTTAGATGGCATGAACAACTACAATCGAAAGAATTCCGAAAGAATTCTATGCTACGTGCTGTAAGTCAGTACTGTACATTTCCCATTCATACGATAACCATTCTTATGGGAAGCYATTTCAATGTTACAGTATGTCGTACCGTGTACGTGCTGTGAGTCAGTACCGTATGTTCACCACTCATACGAAAACCATTCTTATGGGAAGCCATTTCAATGTTACGGCATGTCGTACCGTGTACTTGCTGTAAATCAATGCCGTATGTTCCCCACTCATACGAAAACCATTCTTATGGGAAGCCATTTCAATGTTACGGCATATTGTACCGGTATAGGTGGTGTAAGTCAAAATTGTATGTCCTTATGACCAGCCATTTCAATGTGAAGACATACCATTCTTATGAGAAGCCATTCCAATGTTAGGAAATACCATTATTATGGGAAGCCATTACAAGCAATGTTACGTTTCAAACTTACCAAATTAAACACTACAGAGTTGGTGTTAAGTGTCAGATCCAARGGTGCTGTCTCGATCATATTACAAGATGCTTTTTTAAGCTGCTCTGGTGTGCAAGGCACATCATGTGTATCTTTCCACCAATCAGCACTGTACCATCCGACTATAAACCATACTATATGCTCGCCATAAAGACCCTCCTGATAGGCCTGTAAATAGTGATAAATGATTGAATAACGTATTAGACTCAGGAAGCCCAATCAAACTATTTTCATTTTTGGATGGTTGCATAGTAAYTTTCTGGAGCGTATTGTAAAATTTTCCCATTTCAGATCCCGTGTCATTCTCTTGAGAATAAGATTCTTTGTTTGAGTTGCATCCATATTCATGTGTCTTCTCATGTGCAACCGTTAAACAAAGAAATAATACTCTAGGGAATGACACGTGGTCTTGAGAATAAGATTCTTTGTTTGAGGTGTATCATATTCATGTGTCTTCCCATGTGCAACCGTTAAACAAAGAATTGATGCACTTCGGTCTTAGAATACACTATTCAGTATGCAGTATTCAGTATTCAACCTTTTTTGAAATAGCTGTAAGCCCAGGGTTTAGGAAAACGATACATACACGAACATTCACCGACCTGGCACATAGTTTGTCGGAACTTGTCTTCGTACATGAGAGCGATRATGATGCGAGCATCTTTGTCCTATGTAATATTTGATAAGAAAAGATAACTATCTAAAAACTAGTGTGAGCTGCGTCGGTGTTTCTAATGTAACAGTGATGATAAAATGGTAAATTAGACAATGAAAAGATGAAAAAACTTTCTGACGTTTCGGACGCTAGTCCTTCGTCGGAGTAGCGTCCGAAACGTCAGTAAGTTTTTTCATCATGCATTTCAAGGTGTATAATTTACCTTTTTATCATTAATATTTGATAACAGCAGTTTTTGTAACAGAATAGGCCAGGTATAAGTTCAAATTATTGGTCATCTTACGGGACGAGATTTAGAGAGGAGAAGTAAGAAGGAAATAATTGAATTCAAAAATTCCTCAGCATATACTGCCAAATTGGACTCGGCCTGTCAGCCTTTTCCAATTTTGTCAGTCCTCGGAATTTTTTTTCATCCAATTATTTCCAAATTGTACAGCATGTAATCCTAATATATACCTATACTTATTAGAATGGACGTATGCAACTAACCTTAAGCATTTTAATTAATGTCAATGGGTTTTCTCTAAATCCCTCTGATGTTAATAGTGTAATATTTTCTTCTTTCAGCAACGGCAGAAGATGTTCTTTAGTCTTAAGGAACGAAAATTCAAAACATTTTTACATGATGCGGTAAGTGTTTTATTGATGGGGAACAAGCGTTCAATATTTACAACAGCATCAACAACTACAGCAACAACAACAGCAACAACAGCAGCAACAGTAACAACAGCAACAACAGCAGCAGCAGCAACAAAAGCAGCAACAACAGCAAACGACATCAACAACAGCAGCAGCAACAGCAACAACGGCAAACAACAACAACAACAGCAACAGCAAACGACAGCGACAACAGCAGCAGCAACCGCAGCAGCAATAACAATAGCGAAAATAATKTGCAGCATTAAGATATTTATTTCATATTTACCATGACATAGATATCCAGCAATTGTGTAATCAAAGCCACTCTTTTCCAGTTAAACTTCTTCAGTATGGCAACACGGGCCGGATTTTCCATCGTTTCTGTCGGCGCCGTACGAAACACGTGAGGAAACTTGGCCTTGTTTGAAAATATTGGTGACGATATACTATACCCAACCTAAGAATTAAAAAAACATTTATAGCAACTGTCGTAAAAGTGGCGAAAATTAAAACCGTATTCTCAAATTTAYTTTGCCCATTTCAGACCACGTGTSATTCTCTTAAGATTAGATTTGTTTGTTTGAGTTGTATCCATATTCMTGTGTCTTMTCAAGCACAGCAATAAAACGTGGAAACGATAGAAGTARCACGTGGTATGAAACTAGAAAACATTACTTAATATTGGAATCATTTGGCCGTAATGTTTACTCACTGCAGACCTCGTGTCATTCTCTTGAGAATAAGATGCTTTGTTTGRGTTGTATCCATATTCAARGAAATGATACTCAAGAGAATGACCAGTGGTCTAAAAGGAGAAAACATTCAGTTTTAGGTAAAGAATTGTATAATAATCACCTGTACAGCCTTCCAGTATCTTGTTGCCTCTGCGACGGGTCGCGCGGCCAGCGAACATCCGGGACCAATGAATGCAATTTTGTGAGGAAGCTCGTCGACGAGGTCCAGAAGGGCACGTATTGCCGCTCCGCTCTCACACTGATGATATTAACAGATGATACATGAATGGATAGGGAATAAATACTTATTTGGAGATCATGAAGAGAAAGAAGGATTGGACCAGGACCAGGACCTGGAGAA